AGAGAGAGAGGAGAAAAGTGAGAAAGCAAGCTGCTGTGTCTGGGACTTGAACCATGGTCAGCCATGTGGGAGTCCAGCATCCTATACCACCATGCCATCCACCATCCCCATTTTTTTTTTTATGCCAGATGGCATGAGTGTGCACCAGAGAGAGAAAGAGGGACAGGAAGCCCTCCCTAATGTGACCTGGTCACACTGCAATTCTTTTTCTTTCTTTTCTCCATTCCATCAAGATCTTGGGCATGGTGTGCTCATGCACTCTGCTTTTCACTCTGTCAGGACCAGTATTCAAACCAGAGTTGACCATGTGGGGTTGAGCTTCCTCTGCACAGGTAGCATTTAACCACTGTGTTGTGGGGCTGGCCCACAGCATTGCTGCTCAATATGCTGTTGACTATGCCTGAGACTGGGCTTGTTATCAGTTAAATTTTATTAAGCCTAATAATGTTTTTCACATGATATATGATCATCTTAGGTATGTAACAAATTATTTTGAATTATCATATATGATGGATAGAGTTGTGTTCTTTTTGAATATATATGTAATTAATAGTGTTTATAGTTGTTGCTTAAAATCTCTTTGAAGGTCTTTTTGGGGAATGTAAGTCATTTAAAATTCTAATTTTATACAGACACACACACATATACATATATATATATATATATATATATATTTGCTAAAGGGTGTGTGCACTTGTTGGAGAGAGACACAGAGAGAAGAAATGTGAGAAAATATTCCCATAGAGAATGGTCTCACTACAATTTCTTCTTCTCCATTCCTCCTTTTTGGATTTGGAAATGCATGCAAATGTACCTGGCATATTTTTCAAACTGCCAGGCCTGCGACTCGAACTATATAGTCAGCCATGTGGGATTCAGCCACCTTAACCACCTTGTCACTGGCTTGTCCCATATGTATTTCTAATATCCATTTTCTTATGAAGGTAAACATGTCATTCTTAAAAAGAAACAAGTACCTCTGAAAGACACAGACACGGTCAAAAGCTAGAGGAACTGGCCAGTTATCCCCCGCTGTTAGGACGGCAGCACTACTCTGGCCAACTCACCTTTACAAGAACATGCAAAGTCGATGTCAGACTGCATCAGTAAATATTTACTGGCATAGTTTTTATATCAAAGACTGGAACTTTAGGAGATGCTCCTGGGCTTTAGTGTACCCTAACATCTATTAATCCCTAATCCCTTGGGTGACTTGTCCAAGAACTGCTACATTTGCAAGGAACATGCAAGGAGACCCAAGAGGACACATTCAGTTGAAGGTCAGGGAAGCAATTAATGTTCTCCACTTTTCCCTAAAGAACTTCCAGCCCCTCAATTTAGCAAGGCAAGTGCACTTAGTGAAATGAAAGTTAAAATTCCAATATTACTGATATTATTTGGTTCAGCTTCTTCCTGAATGTGAATGCATACAGTTGTTTAAGGGAAAGTACAGTGTACTGGATTAGAAGGCAGGCCTTTGAAAGAATACCAATTTTTCTATCTCTATTTTTGCTGCATCTCTATCAAGGTCAATGTTTCTGGTAGTGGTAAAATGGGATGGTAGGTTGGGTTGTTTATGTGGGGTGTAGTCAAGTTGGAGTTCTTTTGGGGAATACATAGATCTGTCTGGATCCTAAGTGGGACCCACAAACACAACACACTCTACTCTTTTTTACTCCGTAGTCCTTCACATTTGTGAAAACTCTTATGTTCCCTTGGGTCTTTTTTTCTTTATGATGGATATGTTGGTTTCCCCAAACTGAGGTTCCAGTCTTCTCACCACAGTTTCTTGGTGTTCTTTTGAAACAGGGCTTCCTTACCTGAATGTGGGGCTAGCCATGTGATCTGACTAGGACAAACTCGAACAGAGTCTTTACCTAATTCATTTTAGAGATTATATTGTCACCATGGCCTGAGTGTGCTGGCTTTTTTGATGGTCACATTATGCCTTTGCCTTATATTTGTGGCCAGTTATATCTTGTATTTGTTTCCCCCATCAAATAGCAGTGCTAAGCTTAGCCTGAATGTGGTCTTTATACTTATCTTTGTTAAGTTTCACATATTCTGATAGCCCAGTAAGATATTTTGCACATCATTAGTTATGTGTCCCAATCATGTTTATATCATCTGGAAATTTGATCATACTCTTAGTATTAGCAGTCACACTATTAACAAAGGCATCACAGGGCAAAGTCGAGAACACACTGTTTATTAGAAAGACCTGTCCAGGTGGGCACAGAGGCCAAGTTCTTTGGGGACACTGGCAAAACTAACTTGGATCCAGTTGCGTGACTCTCCATATTGTTGCCCCGAATGACCATGTGTATTGCTAACATTCGGATAAATTGCGTCCAGTAATTTCTAGTTTTCCTAATGGTAGGAGCCCTGTCTGTCTGGTTAACTACTATATTCCCATTATCCAACACAGAGCCTGGCACACGACAGCAGGCCTTGAGGAAATAAATGACCAAGGAACAAAAGTCATTCTAGCTGAAGTTGTGTGTGTGTGTGTGTGTGTTTTTTTTTTTTTTTAATTTTTGCCATAGGGCATGCGTACTTGCTGGAGAGAGACAGAGAAAGGGAAATGATAACTCCCATTTGGGTGGCCATGCCACAGTCTCCTCTCCTCAGTCTCCTCTTGGGATTCTAGGCACACATGCATAGGTTCCTGGTGTGCTTTTCAAGCCACTGGATATGGGATTTGAACCATGGTCAGCCATATGGGAGTCCAGTGGCTCAACTCCATACCACCTGCTGATAAGCTAGGGAGCTTAAGTTTTAAAAAATGAATCCTTATTGCTTCATCTCTTCCTATTTAAGGAATTAAAAATGATGTTTCCTTTTTGTTTGGTTTTCATAATGCTGTTCCCTCCATGTACTCAAAGCTGGTCTGTATTTTCCATTTTTTTCTTGTGGAAAGATCTAAGCCTGGATGTGTCAGTGCAAAGGTAGGTACGATGACAGCAGGACTCTCACCAGAACTGAGAGGGAAGGGGCAAGACTGAAGGCTCAATGGATTTTAAAGACTTGTGAGAAATAAATAGCTCCCCTATCAATGAAAACTGCATTTTAGGTCAAAGGCTAAGCCTAAGACAAACTTCTTTTATGAAGCCATACCCGAGTTACCTTGGCCACAGGGATTTTTCCCTTCCTTATTTAATATTAGAATTTTCAAGTGTGCATAAGAAGTCCAACATTTGATCCTGTTTTATCTTTTAATTTTATGATTAAAATAGTAACAATGACAACTATAATAATGTCAGAATAATAATAATTTGGGCCCTATGTAACAGCGTGCTAAGCACACCAGTCATTATCTTGTTTGAGTCTCCCAACATGACATGATGTAGGTTCTTCTGTCTTTCATGTTTTATAGGTAAGGAAATGGGCTCTTGGACACAGATGTATATTTTGCTCCATAACTAGTTTTCAGTAAAATAACATCATAGCTCTTTGTGTTGTTTCTAAAGAATTATTTATTTATTTGTTATTATTATTTTATTTTCAATTTACTGTAAGGCACATAATGCTCACTACAGAGAGAAAGAGAGAAAGTGAGAAAACAAGCCTCCTATTCCGGGACTCAAATTGTGGTCAGCCATGTGGGAGTCCAGTGCCTTAACTACCATGCCACCTGCTGGCCACGTCGCAGCTTTTTTTTTTTTTTTAATGAGAGATTTTTGCTATAGGGTGTGTGCCCTCACTGGAGATAACTAGTTTTCAGTAAAATAACATCATAGCTCTTTGTGTTGTTTCTAAAGAATTATTTATTTATTTGTTATTATTATTTTATTTTCAATTTACTGTAAGGCACATAATGCTCACTACAGAGAGAAAGAGAGAAAGTGAGAAAACAAGCCTCCTATTCCGGGACTCAAATTGTGGTCAGCCATGTGGGAGTCCAGTGCCTTAACTACCATGCCACCTGCTGGCCACGTCGCAGCTTTTTTTTTTTTTTTTAATGAGAGATTTTTGCTATAGGGTGTGTGCACTCACTGGAGAGACAGAAAGCAAGAAATAACCCCCTGGTGTGATGTCTAAACTGTAATCCCTTTTCCTCCATTCTTTTCTTGGGATTTTGGGTATACACACACACACACACACACACCCACACACACACACACACATGCCTGTCATGAGTTTAAGCTGCTGGGTCCAGGACTTGAATCGCGGTCGGCTATGTGGGAGTCCAGCGACGTAACCATTATGTCACCTGCTGGTCCTGACATCATAGCTTTTTAATATTTAGAGAAGAGACCGTGGAACAAAAAAAAGCCCACATTTCGGCTTCTTCATTTACAAATTGTATAAGGTTGGTCCAGTTTATGTACATTGTCTGAATCTTACTTTTGTTCTGTGTAAAAGTGAAAATAATGTCTCCAAGATTGTTACGAAAGTGAAATGAAATATCCCAACGGTGCGTTTAATGTAGTCTGGAGCGTCGAGTATGTGCTCAGTTATTGGTGGTTGATGTTACTTATTAACTTGATGTAATGCTGTAGATGTTAAGAGGCCATGAGTTACCCCAAATAATAGTGTCAAATTCAATAATAATAATAGTAGCCCATATTGTTGGGTGGTATTAAATAAATACCCTGTGTCTGAATAAAAGCGGGTCATAAAGGATGCACTACTAGACAACAGAGAAATAACGGGAACTTTTCTGTGTAGCCACATGAGTAGTGACGTGATCTGTTTCATCAGTAGTCTTCCTCTTGTTCTAGATGTACTAATGGTGGCCCTTAAGATACGTTGCTTTAAAAAGAATGTCAATTATTATTTAATGTAGCATTGCAGAAATGGATAGCGGTGATTTCAAGTTCAGTAAAAATCAGAACGATGTTTCCACCCTGATGTGTGAAATGTTAGCTTGTATTATGAGTCATTTCAAACAGTTTGCTTTACTCTTTTATTTCTTCTGAAGTCCATGGATACTCAAAAGGAACTTAGACTAAGAAGTAATGCTGCATTTCTTCTTGGCTTTTTTTCTTCCCTTCCAGAGACCAAAGAAGACCACGATGACAAGCAGGTGGTCACAGAGATTATGGCCAGGTGTTTTGTTCCCACACGGATAACAACCACTTCCTGGGAAGGTTTCCGTTTTGTTGGTCATGAGATCCGGATTACTGAAGCCATGGATTGTTATGGTGCTGTCGTTTGGCCATCGGTATAAAAATGTTGTTATAGTCCAATTATTTTCCAGTCAGCTTTGTTCATTATTTTGTCCTGGAAAACAAAATAAAACAAAACGTGTTTCATAGTTTTACTTTGTGACCTCAAATGACACTAATGTCTAGAAATCATAGGGCTGGGAATTCGTTTTCACCAATTAAATCAATTTCTGGTCTTATCAAAATGTGTACATTTACTAAGCAGGTTATTTACACCTTCTTTTTATGATCAAAAGAGTTTAGAGTAGTAAATATTTTTTTAAATTTAAGTTTATTTACTTATTTTTTGCATGGGTAAAAGAGACAGAGACACAGACAGTACCTATCAGAATCCTGATGTTGCAGTCCCGCCCAGCCTCCGCCAATCCAGATCAGGGGTGCAGCCTTACTTATGCAGGAAAGCCACTGGACGTGAACCTGGGATGGCACCTTCCCATGTAGGTCTACCTCGAAGAGCAAGTTTTACTGCTGTGCTAGCATCTGGCCCAATAGAAGAGTGAACGTTCTTATTTCCTGTTTTACTGGCTCTGTGTGAGTTAAACAACAATAGTGAAATCTGCTTGGTCTCACACAGAACATTCTAAAAGTCCTTCCCTCTTTTGCCAACTGTCCCATGATAGGTGGGGGACTCACTACTCCCATTGGGCCCAGCTCCACCTAGTAGGTTGTCAGAAGAGTCAAGATGTATTTTTCTGTTTCTATGCAAAAATATGGTAGGGGCCGAGGGAGCAGTGAGAAAGTACCCCAATGGGAATGCCACTCTGTAATCCCTTCTCTATTTCTCCCTTCTTTCAGGATTTTGAGCACATCTCCTGGGAAGGGACTAGAACTACACAGTTGGTCACATGAGACCAACTCCCTTAATCACTGTGCTGTGGGCTGGCTGGCCCCAGAATTCCTTTTTAAAATATGGTCAGTACTAAGAAACTGAACTCTGTATGTTTAGTTATTTCCTTTTTTTCTCCCAGAAATCTCCATGGACTTTTTCTAGCCTCAATGCTGAACCTTTCATAGGATGTACTTCCACTGATAATTTGCTGGAGTGATGTACCTGAACACACACATACATACACATACTCACACATATCATAATACGATTGTGATCTTTAATAGAACTCAATTTGGGAACAGCAGTTAGCATAATGGCTATGTCGCTGGACTCCCACGTAGTCAACCGCGGTTCATGTCCTAGACCCAGTGGCTTAAAACTCACGCCGGGCGCGTGTGCGTGCGTGCCCAAGATCCCGAGAGGAGAATGGAGGAGAAGGGATTGTGGCATGGCCATCCCCCCCAGGGGGTGATTTCTCGCTTTCTGTCTCTCTGTCTCTCTCTGTCTGTCTGGGGAGCGCCCTGTAGCGAAAACCTCTCCCCCCAAAACAAAAAAAATAGAGCTCAATTTTACTTTCTGGTATTACTTTTCAAGCACTCCTTTTTTTCTTTTTTCTTTTTTTTATTTTTCATAGGCTCTTGTTCTATGCTATTTTCTGGAAAGAAATGCAAAGCAGTATAATATGGTTGACAAAAATGTGATTGAAATTGGAGCCGGAACAGGGCTAGTCTCCATTGTGGCAAGTTTACTTGGTAAGTGAGTGTTTTGGATTGAATAGGGGTCAGAGAATTTAATGATGAAATAATGTTAGCTGCTTTTACCATCCAGAATCCTATGACCTCAGGCCTATTTGCATCTCTTTAATTGTTTGAATAGTTTCATCAAGACATTCTGCCAACATAAGTCCCCTTACAGGTTTCTTTCAGAACTTCCTGTGTAAGTTGTGGGAGTCTTTCCCATACAGTACTGATCCAAGCCTTGGATGAAGCATTCTAAATGGGAGGTGGACTCAAGGATCCTGATAGCTATAGATGTGTGAACTGCTCTGATTCTGATGGGCTTTATAGTTCAGTCTTTTTTCAATATGCCCCTAGAGCTGTGAATTCCCTTTGGGTTTTAAAATCCTAGGCTTTTATGAACAAAGCACCTGTTAGAATAGGCAAGAAATATTAGATCTCACATACACATCACATTTTTAAAAATTTTTTTGTTTTCCAGGTGCTTGTCCTTGAATTTATTTTCCCAGTTTCTTTCCATTCTTCTCTCATGACCCTGATTCTCTCACCGGCCTTTTTTTTTCAGATGAAGGCGTGATGGTCTCTGTGTGCCTGAGCTCACTTCAGCTCAGTCGTTTTCTCTTGTTGTTAATCTATTTCGCTGCTTTAATGTAGCCGCCTTTCCTGATGGGTGCTACCCGAGTCTGTCTTGACTTCCTTCATCTTCAGAATTGCACACCTGCCACTCTAAGATCTTGAGAGGAATTCAAGATTTAGTAATTTACAACTTTCTAAACACTGGAGAGATTTAGGATCCTTGAAGTCCTCCCAAATATTAAAAAAAAATTGCTCCATCCAGATATTGCTTTCCAAAGTCACTATTCCATTTAGTATGGACAGAGATCGTCACAATTTGATTTATACCTGGAAGCTCCCACATATAAAGAGCAGAATTGGTGTTTTGGGAAGCCATTTATTTTATTAAAAAGATTAAATCCCTTATATCTGCTTGTATACCTTGAAACAAATACCAAAAGATAGAAGCTTTATTTAGTTAGTATTCTGACAATGGTAGTGTTTTACCTATCTTAAGGTGTAAAGATCTTAAGTCCAATAGTCAGTCTATATTCAATATGGGCAGAGGTGTGTTCTTAATCTTGGAATTTTTTAAAGAAGATTTGTTCAAAATGATAGACTTGCCCATGATAGAATGTGAAGGTTCCTATTTGTGTTATTCTCCATAGATTAGCATCTGTCCTTCCCATTTTAATGTTTTCACAAAATATAATTAATGCCCAGGAAACCTGACGTGAGGTAAGGATGGGTCTAAGTTTGGTGTGAGCTGAACAAGGCTGTCTTCCGTAATAGTTCTGCTTTCCCTCTCTTTGTCTTGGTCTGTGCTTATCTCATGCTGTGGAATCAGCCAAGTACAGATTCATTGACAGATTACCCCCCCATTCCCTTTTAACTTAGAATTGTTCATATTTTCTTCATCTGAGCGTTCATTCTACTTAATCTGATATTTGGCTTCAAGAGTGCTATGTGGATGTTGCTGTCACTTTTTAATCTTATTTTGATGAGAAGATTTATGTTTGTGATGGAGTCAAGTTGAAACCATGGCCATAGACATGGATGTGATGATACTTTCCATGTAATGCCATGGAAAAGTCTTCCTCGTCCCTCCACACCTCACATGAATACTTCCGGTTCAGCTCTAGGATGCCCAGAGTGACATACTCTCAACATACTCTCAATCTGTCTCACAGGACTGAGGCTCAGAGTGTTTTTAGGGAAGTACCTGCTCATCTTTCATCAGTGTTCTAGTGATGGCAACAAATATTTTGAATTTCCCTTTCTCTTGATTTCTCTCTTTGCATATAGTAAATAGAAATGACAGCAACAAAAGAACAACAAAACAAACAAATGAAAACCAGGAGAGGAGAAAATGCAGTGGTGTGTAAAGGTCCCGTGGGACTCTATTATTATTATTATTATTATTTTATGGTAAGAGGAGGCATATAGCTGCTTTAGTGTCTATATTAAAAGGGATTCTCTTTCTGCGTGACCTGGCCAGTGTTTTCCCCAGGACTGGTAATAATTGTGCAGAACCACAGAGTGCATGTTGGCTTGAAACTTGATTGTTTCACTTGACCCCATGAGGCTCACTTTTTCTACTGTTCTTTGTTTCCCAGGAGCTCGTGTAACTGCCACAGATTTACCTGACTTACTTGGAAACCTGCAATACAATATTTCTAGAAACACCAAGACGAGCAAGCATTTGCCTCAGGTTAAAGAACTCTCCTGGGGAGTATCTTTAGATACAAACTTCCCCAGGTCTTCAAATAATTTTGACTATATCCTGGCAGCGGATGTAGTCTATGCTCATCCTTTCTTGGAAGAACTCCTTGTTACCTTTGACCATCTGTGCAAAGAAACTACCACCATCCTCTGGGTCATGAAATTCAGGCTTGAGAAAGAAAACCAGTTTGTTGATAGATTTAAGGACTTGTTTGACCTGGAGGAAATTTCTAGCTTCCCTAGTCTGAATATTAAGTTGTATAAAGGTACGAAGAAAAATTGGAGGAGTGCATGATACCCTCGAATGAGGACACAGATGTGCTAAGGCAATCTCCGGTCAATTATTGCTTTAAAGAAAACCCTAATAGTCTGATTACCATGGACTTTCTCAAGGGGAGACCAACACACATTCCCTCGCTCTCTCTCTCTCTCTCTCACACACACACACACACCACTATGAAAATAAAAGGTAGTTCTCCAAATTCACCTTACCCAATGCAGGGCTTTTCTCAAATACCACACATGGGTCTGCAGGACTGGGGGTAACCTGCTCCCGGTCTATCTCCATCAGCACTCCAGCCATCTTTTATTTAAGTGGCCGTGGACACTTTTGTCAAAGTCAACCATGTGGTCATTGTCTACTCTTCTGATCCCTGTATGGCATCATCCATTATTATCATTATTTTCTTGCAAGAAAGAAAGAGAGAGGAAGAGACAGGTATTTTTGACAGGATCTCACTGCCTTGCCAAACCTGCTGCCCTGTCCTTGCAATTAGCTAAAGTGACAGGCCAGTGTTTAGATTGACCTGAGAATCAAATCTATGTGGTTTCCAGCCTCCTATGCAGTGGCACTATCTGTGTGTCACTGTGGTTGTGACCATTATTATTATAATAAATGGTACACTTGTTGCTATTATTTCTTTTCTTTTTATGATTGAAAGCATGTGCATAAACACAAGAGAAAGAGGTAGAAAGAACCCTCAGCAGGGCCTCATCACACCATGACCACCTTCCCCCAGCCCTCCAGCTCTTCAGGATCCCAGGCACCCCTATGCACACCCAGCATGTTTTTCAGGTTTACCTGAGATTTGAACTGCAGTCTCCCACTGTTTTATCACAGTGCCACAGTGACTGGACTTATTAATATACTTAATGCATAAATACAAAAGCTGGTTTTTAATAATGATGGCTCTAAAATGAGCATTCTTATGAATTCTTTTGAACATGGATTTGTATGATTCTCTTTAGAAAAAAGAAGTTTACTATAGAGGGATCCACACGTAAATAGGAAGAGGCAACTGCATACTGCAATGGTACATGTTAGACTTCTGTGGTCCCTGTTCACAGGTGGTCCATCATCTCTGCTTGGCTGGGTGGGTCTCCAGTGCAGTCTCTGAAGCCAGTCAAGCTTGTGGAGTTGAGGTTATATCAAGGACTTTACACTCTACTAAGTGAAAAATGAAGGAAAGTATGCATGAAAATATTGAGATTTTTGGAGGAGTTATTATTTTACTTGAAAACCAATTAACAGTTGTTTTGTATCACAGAAACAAATAAATGTAAAAAATTGGGTTGAAAATACACATGAATAGAGTTAGCCCTCTAATCTCAAATAACCAGCCATATGGTTGTTTTTAAAGTTTAAAGCCATTCTGATGAACATTCATAGACTAGATATTTGAAATTTGTGATTTTTTTTCCACATGGGCCTTAGAGATTAGAATGAAGTCTGAAGTGATTAAAGTCAGTGGAAAGAGAGCAGAGAATTAGGATTTGTACCATGTAACTGCCTAACCTGTATTGGTTGGCTCCTCTCTGCAGTGTCCCCAGTAATGTTTATTAGGCTGTCACTGAGCCCTCGGAATGACACTTGCTCTTTTATGATAAATCTTTCTGCTTTACTTAAAGTTGTCAGTGCACTCAGGGTTGACCATGGCTAAAAAGATTACTTCCTATGACCTCCCTCCTATGCTGGCATGCAAGTAGACTCCAAGGATTTTCTGGTATGCGTGGTTCATAGGACCATCTCTCAATAATCCCCAATATTCACATGAATCTTTGTTGTTTTCACAGTCTATTATTTACATGGAGTCATTTAATTCTCACAACCATTCTAAGAGGTATTAGTAATATCATTATCTTGGGACCAGCAGATGGTGTAATGGTTATGTCACTGGACTCCCACATGGCCGATCACAGTTCAAGTTCTGAACTCGGCAGCTTGAAACATGCTTGGCGCTTGTGCATACATGCCCAAAATCTTAAGAGGAGAATGTAAGAGAAGGGATTCAGTGTGGGTATCTCCCCTGGAGAGGGGGTGTTTCTTGCTTTCCTTAGAAACAGAACCAGTGGGCTGTGTGTGCCACTCATCTATGGGGAGTGCCCTGGGAAAAGACCTATGGAGGAGGTAGGACAGAAGTAGAGGACATGATGCAGTGCACGCCCAGCGTGGCCTCAGTTTACCCCACCTGGGGCATGAGCTCAACAGCGGCCTTTCAGAGAAGTTCCAACTGGAGTAAGGCGCCTGGGCCTTGATAAGCTCATGTGACTTCACCACTGGACATAGCTACTTCTGGGAAGATTCGCAGACTTGGGTCACATGCCTCCCTCAGTTGTGGCAATCCCTGAGGACGTGGATCACTGTGGGCTGACTGCCAGCAGCACGTCCTGTGGCAGGGCAGTTAGTCATTTAGGAGAGGACCTCAGCAGCTCTTCAGTGTTTTCTATAACCTCTTAGGCCATGGAAAGAACTTTGGCTTTTCTTTGGGAGTAATGGAAAATCAACACAGGTGTTTGAAAATAGAAGTGAATTGGGAACCAGCAGTGAGCGTAATGGCTATGTCGCTGGACTCCCACGTAGTTGACCGCGGTTCGCATCCCAGACCCGGTGACTTAAAACTCACGCCGGGCGTGTGTGTGTGCGTGCTCAAGATCCCGAGAGGAGAATGGAGGAGAAGGGATTGCGGCGTGATCATCCCCCCTGGGGGGTGATTTCTGTCTCTATGTCTCTCTCTGTCTGTCTGGCGAGTGCATGCGCCCTATAGTGAAAACCTCTCTCTCAATAGAGATTAGAATGAAGTCTGAAGTGATTAAAGTCAGTGGAAAGAGAGCAGAGAATTAGGATTTGTACCATGTAACTGCCTAACCTGTATTGGTTGGCTCCTCTCTGCAGTGTCCCCAGTAATGTTTATTAGGCTGTCACTGAGCCCTCGGAATGACACTTGCTCTTTTATGATAAATCTTTCTGCTTTACTTAAAGTTGTCAGTGCACTCAGGGTTGACCATGGCTAAAAAGATTACTTCCTATGACCTCCCTCCTATGCTGGCATGCAAGTAGACTCCAAGGATTTTCTGGTATGCGTGGTTCATAGGACCATCTCTCAATAATCCCCAATATTCACATGAATCTTTGTTGTTTTCACAGTCTATTATTTACATGGAGTCATTTAATTCTCACAACCATTCTAAGAGGTATTAGTAATATCATTATCTTGGGACCAGCAGATGGTGTAATGGTTATGTCACTGGACTCCCACATGGCCGATCACAGTTCAAGTTCTGAACTCGGCAGCTTGAAACATGCTTGGCGCTTGTGCATACATGCCCAAAATCTTAAGAGGAGAATGTAAGAGAAGGGATTCAGTGTGGGTATCTCCCCTGGAGAGGGGGTGTTTCTTGCTTTCCTTAGAAACAGAACCAGTGGGCTGTGTGTGCCACTCATCTATGGGGAGTGCCCTGGGAAAAGACCTATGGAGGAGGTAGGACAGAAGTAGAGGACATGATGCAGTGCACGCCCAGCGTGGCCTCAGTTTACCCCACCTGGGGCATGAGCTCAACAGCGGCCTTTCAGAGAAGTTCCAACTGGAGTAAGGCGCCTGGGCCTTGATAAGCTCATGTGACTTCACCACTGGACATAGCTACTTCTGGGAAGATTCGCAGACTTGGGTCACATGCCTCCCTCAGTTGTGGCAATCCCTGAGGACGTGGATCACTGTGGGCTGACTGCCAGCAGCACGTCCTGTGGCAGGGCAGTTAGTCATTTAGGAGAGGACCTCAGCAGCTCTTCAGTGTTTTCTATAACCTCTTAGGCCATGGAAAGAACTTTGGCTTTTCTTTGGGAGTAATGGAAAATCAACACAGGTGTTTGAAAATAGAAGTGAATTGGGAACCAGCAGTGAGCGTAATGGCTATGTCGCTGGACTCCCACGTAGTTGACCGCGGTTCGCATCCCAGACCCGGTGACTTAAAACTCACGCCGGGCGTGTGTGTGTGCGTGCTCAAGATCCCGAGAGGAGAATGGAGGAGAAGGGATTGCGGCGTGATCATCCCCCCTGGGGGGTGATTTCTGTCTCTATGTCTCTCTCTGTCTGTCTGGCGAGTGCATGCGCCCTATAGTGAAAACCTCTCTCTCAAAAAAAAAAAAAAATAGAAGTGAATTGATACTACTTCATGTAAGGATTATTCTGGATGATGACTTGAGAAGAGCATATAGATACCAGTTAGGAGGCTGTGGCATCCCTCCAGACAAGAGAGGACATCAGCCTGAGCAGGGCAGCTGCACTGGGGTGAGCAGTGGTAGGGTTGAATGGCTTAGAGCTAGAGCTGACAGACCTTCCCACACGTAGAGCATAGAACACGAGGGAAAGACAGTTTCAAGGTCTCCTCTACAGCGTCTGAGCTATTGGGCATACCCTGGAGGAATAAGCTTAGAGATAGTTTGCAAGTAAGTGTAAAAGGCTCAAAAGTCAGGGTGAGGATATTATGGGCTGTGATCTACTGCCTTCCCACACTGATTGTTCTGCCACCCCCATGAGCCAGAGGATGGTCGGTGTGCACCTCTGTGACCCCTGCAGTCCAGGGCGTCTGTCACACACCAGGTAGAAATGGTGTCTTTGGAGACAGATGTACAGAGGGACTTCAAAAATCTCAGTGAAAAATGGAAGGAGTAAACAGACAGAGCTACAACAAGGACCGAGTCCTGAGCAGGCCAACATGAAGAAGTCAGATACTAGGACTTTTGGGAATGTTTTCCTTGAGGTTCTGCCCCTACTTTCTTACCCCCAGCTATGTTAGTATCTGTTGATTTTGGGAAATATAAATTTAATGCCATAGTGTGTGTATTATTTATGTAGTTATTTATTTATTTATTTAGAGGTTTTCGCTATAGGGCGCGTGCGCTCGCCAGACAGACAGATAGAGACATAGGGACAGAAAGTGAGAAATCACCCCCCAGGGGGGATGGTCACACTGCAATCCCTTCTCCTCCATTCTCCTCTCGAGATCTTGGGCACGCATGCACACGCGCCCAGCGTGAGTTTTAAGCCACTGGGTCCGGGAAGTGAACCGTGGTCGACTACGTGGGAGTCCAGCAACATAGCCATTACACTAACTGCTGGTTCCCGCCATAGTGTGTTTTGACTGGTCAATAGAGTCCCAAGTTTCTTCAGTAGTTTCCAGGACCTGAATGTAGTTGGTGTAGCAGCAGGGACCCTGGGGTAACAGTGAAAAAAAAAAATCATTCTTCTGCAAAAAGACAAAAGTTTAAATATTATTGCTAAGTTATTTTTAGGTAGAATAGTTAAAGTGTCCTTGCAGAGACAGTGTTAGGCTCAAACCAACCATATGGTTCTTTAGAGTTTCTCTTTCGCTATGTGTCAATCTGTCAAACTCAATGTTCCTTATCTATTGTTTCCTTCTGTTTATAGCATTCACTCACACATTTTAACACTCACCCACACACACCATCTCTCTTG